TTTTTTTTTAAAATTTATATTTTCAACATAATTTTTTTTGAATTTATATTTTCAACATAAATATTTTTTACCAAAAATATTTTTAATAAAAAAAGGTCTTAGAAAAGCCGATTTTTGACAAAAAATTTTTTTAATTAAAAACGGTTTTACAAAAGCCGTTTTTTGACCAAATATTTTTTTAATTAAAAACGCTTTTCATTACAAGCAAAACAGCCCCCCTTCTCCCTTTCAACTTCCGAAAGCCGTATTTGATATCCAACCCATCTTCTTCTCCCTCACTCAACCGATCTTCTTCTCCCTCACTCAGCCGACGACGAAGAGGAACACCACCGGCAAAACAGTACACCACCGGCAAAACGAGGAACACCACTCTCCCTCACTCAGGTTTGTATCGCATAAATAAGGGTTTTCAAAACCCAACTATATGTATGTGTGTATGTTTGTGCTTGTATCTATTTCTTTTAGTTAATTTAACTTCTTCTTGCCATCAATTTATAGAATTATGCAGGAAATTCTGCTTTAATTTCTTCGTATTCATTTTGTTCCAAACTAGTAATCTTCACCTGGCCAATTTTTTCCTCTTTTTCAATACACTCTTAGCCAGAAGATGTAGTGGAATTTTGAAATATTGAAATCTTGAGACATAATCTTGTGTTTGGAAATGTATTGGGAATATAGGCCAAAATTGTAAAACAAAAGTAGGAATAGCAATGAAGTAGAGTGGGATTGGATTTGTGGTGTTCTATTCCTACACCATTCCTAGTTGGGGGCAATACTACTAGCCTTGGCTCATTATTAGGATCCTTGGGGCATCTCCAATGGAGATGCTGAGCACACTACACACAGATTTATACAAGTATACACAACACACGTTTGGCCATAAGCTAATACACCTAAAAAATTAAAATTTTATATATACTAGGGTAATACACCTAAAAATCAAAATTTTATATATACACCTAAAAAATCAAAATCCTAAAAATCAAATTTTTGTAAATGCATAGCCGTATGTCTTGTGAGCATAAAATTGAAAATTTGATAAGGTAGTTCATGTCTCATAAAATGAACCCATATATATATATATATATATATACTAGGCAGGGAGGCAATGGCCTTCCATGGTTTGTGTGCATATGGTACTCACTCTAATGGACTTTCAGGATGGTATAGAGTTTGAGTTGGAAGTAGAGAGAGTTTGAATTGAAAATAGCAAGTTCACAAGAAGTAAAGTTCGAATTGGAAGTACGGAGAGTTTACCATTGCTTTGTTAGTCTGGCCAAATGATGCCTTTGGCCTTCAAATCTTCAATTAATAGTCTACATATATATACAAATATCAACAATACAATGGTGTGGAAACTATCTAATTCTTCCATTTTATAACCAAATGATTGCCTATTATATATTTTAATTAATAGTCTACATATGTATAAATTTCAATGATCTAGTAGTATGAAAGCTATCTACATCCTTCCACCACCTTATGATGAATAAATTCTACAATTATCTACCTAATTATAGGGATTTCTACAAAATTTTACATAAATCCAAAATCGAATTCGTAACTCAAATATTTGATAAAATTCCCAAGTTGTGACATTATTCCCCGCCTAATACGACCACATCCTTAACGCAAATTCCTCGTGAAAGCTTTTGATCTTCTCTTCGAATTGATGCAAGAGTTTTGCTAACTCGCTAACTCTCAACTTGTCAATTTCAAGTAGTGCATCTATTTTACTTGGTATTTTTAACACATCATTGGAGTTCCTAGTGATTCCAAACCTTTAAAATATCCAAATTCAACCTTTTAAATCTCCACATTCAAGACGTATTAGTAGTATAATTTTCTTTCAAATATAATGTATACTTGCAGATATCACCAGAATTGCTACTTGCTACCATAATTGAGGTCGTGAAGGAGAAGTTTCAGTTCACTATATCATATAAGAAAGCGTGGCTTGCAAGGACGATGGCAGTTGCAATGGTGTTTGGTGACTGGGACGAGTCGTACCGAAGGTTGCCTAGATATATGGCTGCATTGCAGGCATTCAATCCAGGCACAGTTGTCATGTGGGACATGATTCCGAATTTGCACTCTACCTCAATCGGAACTGAAATGTACATGAACTATGTGTTCTGGCATTTAAACCTGCAATAGAAGGCTTCAAGTATTGTCGTCCAGTGATATGCATTGACGGCACACACTTGTACGGGAAATACGAAGGGAAGATTGTTGCGGCCACTGCAGTGACTGCTGCAGACAAGATTGTACCTCTTGCCTTTGCCGTTGTTGACAAGGAGATGATCGAGAGTTGGGGTTGGTTCATTACTCTGCTTAGGCGACATGTGTGCCGTGACCGAGAGGGGGTCATATTGATATCCGATAGACACACAGCTTTGCTTAGTGTCGTGTCAAGAATTTGGGACAATTCAGCAGTTCAACCAAGAGGATACCATAGGTATTGCTTGTGACACGTATGTAGCAATTTCAATGAAAGATTCGGTAATACAGTAGCGAAGGATCTTGTGCGGAGAGCTGGTTCTGCACGGCAAGTGCGGAAGTTTAACAAGATTATGGACGATATCTACAAGCTCGAGAAGAATGCTGAACGGTGGTTTAGACGGATGAACCCTATTCATTGGACATTGTGCCATGATGGTGGTTGTCATTGGGGCATATTGACGACAAACCATATAAAGGGCTTCAATGGTGTACTGAAAGGCGCACGCAATGTTCCTATTACAGCATCAGTTGAGATAACTTTTTATCGGCTCGTGAAATATTTTGACGAGGGCAGGACCATTGCTGAAAATGCGAGCCATCGGGGTCACTTGTACACGGCTAATGTTCAACGATGGATTGACGAGCACCAAGCTAAAGCGAATGTGCATATGTTGGTACCGATTAATAGGTAATTTTTATTGGATGCACCGAATTCACTACACATGAACATTTCGCACTCGTCGATCTTTGATGTTAGTCTATATTTAAACATATATGCATATTAATCCACGTACATACATTTTTCTTGCAGGGGAATAGGGGAATATGAGGTGAGGACAGCACCGCATGGGATGGGGGGCGGTGCTCGTCAAATAGTTAGTCTCTGACCACCGAGTTGTTCATGTGGGAAGTACACATTATTTCACTTGCCATGTTCCCACATGCTTGCTGTGACTGCAGATTTGGGTAAGGACCCTTTTCCTTTCATTGCACCAGAGTATAGGTTGGAAGTCCACAAGCATATCTTCGCGCAGAAGTTTAGGCCCATGCCGCACGAGCACTGTTAGCCTGACAATGATTACCCAACTTTGCTTGCTATTCCAGCTCAACAACGTGAAGTTAAAACGGGTCGTCCTCAACATAACCGAATACACAACAAAATGGATACTTCCAGACAAAGTGGATTGCACCATTGTAGTTTGTGTTTGCAAAGAGGGCATGATAAGAGAAAATGTCCGTCGAGAATCCGCTCGATTCGACAGTAGTTGTTTGTCTTCTTTACATATTAGTTCCACGCTACTTTCTTTGAATTGGAGTCAATATAATATTCAATGAATCAGTATTCAGTAAATTCATAATGTATTTACGACTTCAATTACTAATGACATAGATTTGGTCAAATGTGGCAAATCTCTTCAATTGCTTTAGTTGTTGCAAGTGTCCTTTGTGCACTGGATTGTGCAGACTTTGGTGCGTTGATGGTCGCTTGTGTCCTAACCTCGATGGACACGAGTTTATCTAATGTTAGAAAAATGCAAATATTCACAGAATGAATTGATAATCACCAATATAAATGCAGTTTATATTCAATGTGTGTTATGCCACATTTTGTTATGTGGGAAACTAATTTTTTTTAAATCTTTTTTCCAAAATCCATTACGTCGGTGAAGGCCCATTTTATGAATTCAATCATTTCTCGGACATTTACTACGTATTCGTATATGCTTAGTTCTTGTAAAAAGTTTGAAGGTGGCAGGTTGAAGGAGTCTCAGTTTATAAATAAATCCCTCTTAGCACTTGGGGATGTTATCTCTGCTCTTGTATCTAAGACAGCCCACATTTCATACAGGCATCTCATTCTCTCTCTCTCTGTGTCTGTCTCTCATGTTTTTATGTCCTTTACACTCTCCTTATTGTTTCTCTACTTTTGTTCAAACCAGGAATTCCAAGCTTACTCATATGCTGCAGAGCTCTCTAGGTGAGGTTCTTTGGTGTTTTTAGTATTTTGCTTCCTTGAAGTGATTTTTGTGCTTTAGAATCCACTTTAAATGCTGTAGTGCCACTTATAATCTGCCATGCCGCTGTTGTTCAGAAATTATACTTTTCATAATGAGAAAAACGAATGAGTAATTAATGTGCTCAATTGTTTATAACTTAATTGTCGGGAATTAACTACATAGGATCCTAATCTAAAATATAAATTTTTGCAACAGAAAGTCAATTTCTATCTACTGCCTTTTGTTCTATCATTCTGGTTGCTGCCGGCTGTCTGTTGCTGCTGCTAGCTTGGATCATTGAGCTGATAATTGGGTATGATTCTCTTATTTCATTTAGTTGCAGTGCTGTGTGGTTTGTAAGAACTGTAGCATACTTATTTTTCACTAATTAACATTTCTTTGCAGCTATTTGAGATGGGTTTGGAGCTTTCACTTGCACGCTTGAAAGCTCTTGCAAAATTTGCCTTTGGCATGGGATTGACAAAGGCATGATGAAGTTGCCAAACTTGGTAAGGTACTTTTGATCAATGTGAGTTTACTACCTATTTTGACAAAATACTGCCTCTTCCACACTGCCTTTGGATTATTTCAGCACCCGTGTTCCAAACATGCCTTGTCTTAAACATGACTACATACAACTGATATCAACTCGATGGGATAAGGCTTTATTAAGTTTTTGAGATATGTATAATATAGAAATTGTAGAAAGTTTGTGTGTTGGAGCAAACCAACTATTCTTAAAATTAGTGATATACCAGATTTGACCAATGCAAATTGTAGAATATGTTTGAGATATCAGACAGGAGAAGGATGCAAATTTAGGTCTTCTAAGAAAAAAATGATAACTATACTAAACGCTCTTCTGCAAGAAAAATAATAATGATCCTATTAATTCTGGGTCCATGTTATATTTCTTGTGTTAACTTTTATGTGTTATGGCTTGTTGCAGGTTGTGTTGTCCACTCTTGCTTTCACAGCATTTGAGCTTCCCCCTAATGGGGCTATTGGAACAAGAATATTGGAGTTCCTTTTTCACTCAAGGCCTGATTTGGTGAGAATTTTATTTATTTATTTTCCTTAATGTCAGTAAATCTAATCCTGAAATGCACTACCATTGTTGTGTCCTGCCTTGTTTTTGGTGGGAAATTTGGCAATTGAAAAACTATTGTTGTGGAGTTCTCATGTTGTGATTTTGCCAACTACTTTGAACTTTTTTGTCCTATTCTACTTGCAAGCTTAGTTTAGATGGGGCAAATTACAGAAGTACTCCCTGATAGGCAATTTATTGAAATGCACCTGATTTGTCTGAGTTTTCTCAAATCTGAAGTAGCTAAAATTGTTTGGATTCAACCAAACCCCTTGAAAATAGTCCCCCTATAATGTGATACCAATGGTGAGACAATGGTCCGTTGGTAGGGCCCATATGGATGTTTTCTTTCTCCTTTTCTGAGCATAGACTTTAAGGTGTCAATCCCCATATCAGTATGTGAGTTAGTTACTGCTGAATCATTTATTATGTTCATCTATATTTCAAATTGTCTACAAAACTTTTTGTTGACACTTGGATAAACTTATAGAAATTGTATTTACCATGTGGTGATCCATGTTTGAACATTGAAATTTCATGTATTTGTTTGATGTCTTGATTTCAAAAATTTGTAGGTGAACATCAGGAGTGTTGATGAGGCAATAGTGATCGGTGCTGCTCTTTCATTGTCTTCTTCAGCTTTTGTCCTGCAGGTAATTTTGTTCTAGGTATCTGAAGGTTGCTCTGTCGATTAAATAAGTTGGTTAGAGTTTGCCAGCATTGGCCTTGTGAATTTGCAGCATGGCTTATGCAAAAATTACATTTCTATCATTAAGTTAATTGAACTCTTTTTTGTAATCAGTAAAAAAGCAATTTAGCTTCTTGGTGCTTCCTATTTTACTGCTCAAGTATTGCTTAATATTTCCCTTCTTTCTTCGTTTCTTTCTTTCTTTGTGCAGCTTGGAACATTTTTGGCTGGGGCATTATTAGCAGAAACAAATTTCCGAACACAGATTGAAGCTGATATAAGGCCATTTAGAGGCTTGCTGCTTGGGTTATTTTTTGTTACTACTGGCACTTCCATTGACATGCAGGTAGTTCCATGCTTTTATCCCATGTGTTGTGTTTTAATTATGGTGCACTGTTTCATATTCATTCCTTGGGTACAAGGTTAGGGTGATGATTTCGTAGAGTGAGGTTTTGGAGATGAAATGTCAACTGTTTGGAGGGTGTTAGCAGTCACATATGAAAAATAATTCAGTTGTTTCTTGTGGAAAAGAAATTTTTGGGAATTTTACCTAAATTCCTTAGATGTCATCAGTCATAACGTAAAATGAAGGAATTTAGGGTTGAGATTTAGGAGGAAGAAGAAGAAGAAGTTTTATATATTGAAATAAGCATTAACCTCAACTTTACATCAGTCAAATATATATACAAAACCCTAACATGGCAATATGACCATCGTACCCTCAACTTAGGTAAATATTAACAATAGAACAAAAGAACAAAATTTAACTTCCCAACCAAAGATGGGAATCATTTATCTACTTAACCTATCCTTTGATATTTTTGTACTCGGAACTGCTTTTACTCATATATGCTCTTTCTGATTTGCAAAACTTTACAACAGACGGAACTACCGTATGGATGTCATGGTGACCTTCCCCATCATAAATACGAGCTGTGACAACAGACGGAATTTAATAAGCCCGTGTAGGTTGGGAGTTAGAGCCGAAAACGCGATAAACTTAACCGAAAAAGGGCGTTAAAGGGGCGAAAATACGAAACAGCCCCGAACTACCGTATGGAAGAAGAAAAACGAAACGAAGAAGAAGGGAAATATTACAAACTTGAGCAGTAAAACAGAAGCACCAGGAAGCTAAATTGCTTTTTACTGATTACAAAAAAGAGTTCAATTTAACTAAATGATAGAAATCTAATTATTGCATAAGCCATGCTGCAAATTCACAAGGCCAATGCGTGGCAAACTCTAAGCCAACTTTTAATCGCACGAGCAACCTCAGATACCTACAACAATTACCTGCAGGACAAAAGCTGGAGATGACAATGAAAGAGCAGCACCGATCACTATTGCCTCATCACACTCCTGATTGTTCACCTACAAATTAGAAATCAAGACATCAACAAATACATGAAATTCAATGTTCAAACATGGATCACCACATGGTAATACAATTTCTATAAGTTTATCCAAGTGTCAACAAAAAGTTTTGTAGACAATTTGAAATATAGATGAACATTAATAATGATTCAGCAGTAACTAACTCACATACTGATATTGGGGATTGACCTAATTCTATGCTCAGAAAAGGAGAAAGAAACATCCCATATGGGCCCTACCAACGGACCATCGTCTCACGATGGGTATCACATTATAAGGGGATTGTTTTTCAAGGGGTTTGGTTGAACCCAAAACATTAGCTACTCAGATTTGAGAAAACAAGACAAATCAGGTGCATTTTAATAAATTGCCTATCAGGAGTACTTCTGTAATTGCCCCATTTAAACTAAGCTTGCAAGTAGAATAGGACAAAAAAAGTTCAAAGTAGGTTGGCAAAATCACAACATGAGAACACCAGACAATAGTTTTCAATTGCCAAATTCCCACCAAAACAAGGCAGGGACACAACAATGGTAGTGCATTTAGGATTAGATTTACTGACATGAAGGAAATAAATAATAATAAAATTCTCACCAAATCAGCCTTTAGTGAAAAGGAATCCAATATTCTTGTTCCAATAGCCCTATTAGGGGGAAGCTCAAATGCTGTGAAAGCAAAGTGGACAACACAACTACAACAAGCCATAACACCAAAAGTAACACAAGAATATAACATAGAACCCAGAATTAATAGGATCATTATTATTTTTCTTGCAGAGAGCGTTTAGGTATAGTTATCATTTTTTTTCTTAGAAGACCTAAATTTGCATCCTTCTCCTGTCTGATATCTCAAAACATATTCTACATTTGCATTGGTCAATCTGGTATATCACTAATTTTAAGAATAGTTGGTTTGCCCACACACACACAACTTTCTACAATTTCTATATTATAATATCTCAAAAACTTAATAAAAGCCTTACCCATCGAGTTGATATCAGTTGTATGTAGTCATGTTTAAGACAAGGCATGTTTGGAACACGGGTGCTGAAATAATCCAAAGGCAGTGTGGAAGAGGCAGTATTTTGTCAAAATAGGTAGTTAACTCACATTGATCATAACCCTTACCGAAGTTTGGCAACTTCATCAGCCTTTGTCAATCCCATGCCAAAGGCAAATTTTGCAAGAGCTTTCAAGCGTGCAAGTGAAAGCTCCAAACCATCTCAATAGCTGCAAAGAAATGTTATAGTGAAAAATAGTATGCTAACATGTTCTTACAAACCACACAGCACTGCAACTAAATGAATAAGAGAATCATACCCAATTATCAGCTCAATGATCCAAGCTAGCAGCAGCAACAGACAGCCGGCAGCAACCAGAATGATGAACAAAAGGCAGTAGATAAAATTGACTTTCTGTTGCAAATTTTATATTTTAGATAGGATCCTATGTAGTAATTCCCGACAATGTAAGTTATAAACAATTGAGCACATTAATTACTCATCTCTTTTTTCTGCATTATGAAAAGTATAATTTCTTGAACAACAGCGGCCATGGCAGATTATAAGTGGCACTACAGCATTTAAAGGGATTCTAAAGCACAAAAATCACTTCAAGGAAGCAAAATACTAAAAACACCAAAGAACCTCACCTAGAGAGCTTCTGCAGCATATGAGTAAGCTTGAATTCCTGGTTTTGAACAAAAGTAGAGAAACAATAAGGAGAGTGTAAAGACATAAAAACATGAGAGAGACAGACACAGGAGAGAGAGAAGAGATGCTGTATGAAATGTGGGCTGTCTTAGATACAAGAGCAGAGATAACACCCCAAGTGCTAAGAGGGATTTATTTAAAACTGAGACTCCTTCAACCTGCCACCTTCAAAACTTTTTACAAGAACTAAGCAATACGAAACGAGTAAATGTTCGGAAATGATTGGAATCATAAATGGGTCTCACCGACGTAATGGATTTGGGAAAAGATTTAAAGAAAATAGTTTCCCACATAACAAATGTGGCATAACACACTTGAATATAAACTGCATTTATTTGGTGATTATCAATTCATTCTGTAATATTTTGCATTTTTCTAACATTAGATAAACTCGTGATCCATCGAGGTTAGACAACAAGCGCCATCAACGCACCAAAGTTGCCACAATCCAGTGCACAAAGGACACTTTGCAACAACTAAAGCAATTGAAGAGATTGCCACATTTGACCAAATCTATGTCATTGTAATGAAGTCGTAATAATACATTATGAATTTACGAATACTGATTCATTGAAATTATATATTGACTCCAATCAAAGAAAGTAGCGTGGAACTAATATGTAAAGAAGACAAACAACTACTGTCGAATCGAGCGGTATTACTCGACGGACATTGTTCTCTTATCATGCCCTCTTTGCAAACACAAACTAAACTGTGTCAATCCACTTTGTCTGGAAGTATCCATTTTGTTGTGTATTCGGTTATGTTGAGACGACCCGTTTTAACTTCACGTTGTGAGCTGGAATAGCAAGCAAAGTTGGGTAATCATTGTCAGGGCAACAGTGCTCGTTGCGGCATGGGCCTAAACTTCTGCGCGAAGATATGCTTGTGACTCCAACCTATACTCTTGCAATGAAAGGAAAAGGGTCCTACCCAAATCTGCAGTCACAGCAAGCATGGTGGGAACATGGCAAGATGAGATAATGTGTACTTCCCACATGAACAACTCGGTTGGTCAGAGACTAACTATTTGACGAGCACCGCCCCCATCCCATGCGGTGCTGTCTCTCCTCATATTCCCTATTCCCGCAAGAAAAATGTATGTACGTGGAGTTAATATGCATATATGTTTAAATATAGACTAACATCAAAGATCGACGAGTGCGAATGTTCATGTGTAGTGAATTCGGTGCATCCAATAAAAAATTACCTATTAATCGGTACCAACATATGCACATTCGCTTTAGCTTGGTGCTCGTCAATACCATCGTTGAACATTAGCCGTGTACAAGTGACCCCGATGGCTCGCATTTTCAGCAATGGTCCTGCCCTCAGTCAAATAATTTCACGAGCCGATAAAAAGTTATCTCAACTGATGCTGTAATAGGAACATTGCGTGGCGCCTTTCAGTACACCATTGAAGCCCTTTATATGGTTGTCGTCAATATGCCCCAATGACAACCACCATCATGGCACAATGTCCAATGAAAGGGTCATCCGTCTAACCACCGTTCAGCATTCTTCTCGAGCTTGTAGATATCGTCCATAATCGTGTAAACTTCGCACTTGCCGTGCAGACCAGCTCTCCCGCACAAGATCCTTCGCACTGTATTCCGAATCTTTCATTGAAATTGCTACATACGTGTGCACAAGCAATACCTATGGTATCCTCTTGGTTGAACTGCTGAGAATTGTCCCAAATTCTTGACACGACACTAGCAAAGCTGTGTGTCTATCGGATATCAATATGAACCCCTCTCCGGTCACAGGCACACATGTCGCCTAAGCGAGTAATGAACCAACCCCAACAACCTCGATCATCTCCTTGTCACAACGGCAAAGGCAAGAGTACAACTTGTCGCAGCAGTCACTGCAGTGGCGCAACAATCTTCCCTTCGTATTTCCCGTACAAGTGTGTGCCGTCAATGCATATCACTGGACGACAATACTTGAAGCCTTCTATTGCAGGTTTAAATGCCAGAACACATAGTTCATGTACATTTCAGTTCCGATTGAGGTAGAGTGCAAATTCGGAATCATGTCCACATGACAACTGTGCCTGGATTGAATGCCTGCAATGCACCATTATCTAGGCAAACCTTCGGTACGACTCGTCCCAGTCACCAAACACCATTGCAACTGCCATCGTCCTTGCAAGCCACGCTTTCTTATAATGATATAGTGAACTGAAACTTCTCCTTCACGACCTCAATTAGTAGCAAGTAGCAATTCTGGTGATATCTGCAAGTATACATTATATTTAAAGAAAATTATACTACTAATACGTCTTGAATGTGGAGATTTAAAAGGTTGAATTGGATATTTTAAAGGTTTGGAATCATCTAGGACTCCAAATGATGTGTTAAATACCAAGTAAAATAGATGCACTACTTGAAATTGACAAGTTGAGAGTTACGAGTTAGCAAAACTCTTGCATCAATTCGAAGAGAAGATCAAAAGCTTTCACGAGGAATTGCGTTAAGGATGTGTGTCATTAGGCGGGGAATAATTCACTCAGTATACACTTGGGAATTATTTCAAATATATTTGAGTACGAATTCGATTTTGGATTTATGTAAAATTTTTAGAAATCCATATCTATAATTAGGTAGATAATCTAAGGATATTATTATCATATAAGTGGTGGAAGGATGTAGAGATAGCTTTCATACTACTAGATCATTGAAATTGTTAGCATATGTTGAGAGGGCTATTATGGTTAAAAAGATATAAGGATAG